GTGTGTGTGTGTGTGTGTGCATGCGTGTGTGTGTTTTAAAATCTTGTTTGGGTCAGAAGGATTGCCCATGTCTGTAGCAGCACTTAACCTCTGGAACACCATTCCTCCTGGGTTTAAATTAGCCCCAATTCTGTTGCCTTTTTGTAAAGTCCTTACAATCTGTCTCTTCTCTGAAGGTCAGGATCTCATGAGCTGAAGGTATTTGTGGTTGCCTTTGGTGACCATTTTTCTTTGGCTTTCTGTGTTTCATTTATTGTTCTTGTTGTATAATTATTTTTTTCACCGTGTTAGCCATCCAAAGTACCTTATGTGAGATTGATAGCCTTATAATTCTAATCAATAAATTTCTTCACTGTTAATTAAATTAAAAAGAGTTTATAAAGCTTCTAAATATAGAATTCATTTTGTTCAGAACTGAAAAATTGGAGTCATTATAATAATAATAAATGCACAACATCCTTGACCTAACAATTGTTGATAAGAAAGACAATATTTTTTGATAGTAGATATGACAGTACCTAGTGACAGAATAGAAGAGAAAGAACTGGAGAAGATAAGAAAATATAAAGACATGCAAACAGGAGTAGAACGATGATGGCACCAAGAAAGCAAAGGTAATACAAACAGTAACAGGCACCTTGGGTGCAACCCCAAAACAACTGAAGCACCACTTGAACATCTTTGACATCCCCATCAGTTAATTACAACACACAACTTAACTTGGAACAGCTTCCATCATCTGATCATATATTTAATACCATCAATCAATACTATCTATCAATAGGTATGTTTAAATGCTAAATTTGGTCTGAACATCTGGCTGACTGTGCAACAAAGCATAATAATTGGAATTAAACAGCAATATAATACTTTTTAAAAAGAGATGCAATTGAATCTGAAAATGGACTTTAATCTGAAAATGCATTAAGCACTATCATCTTGCCAAATAAAGAATTTTGGGAAAACTCTTGAAAGCTTGCATTCCATTCAGTGATTTTATGTTAGGTGGATATTATACTGATAGGTCTTTTAATAAGAAACTACAAGATTCTCTTAGGTTATTTTCTGCCCAGGCAATCTTGAAACTACGTACACCTCAGCACACTGATGTTGTGATCTGTATGGGCTGTTTCACCAGTGCATTTATTGTTCTTAATAAATTGTCATTTATTGTTGCCATAATCAAGTGATGAACATTTCATTGGTAAACTTGGTCTCAAATCCTGTTTGAAATCCTTTCTCAGCTGTTACTAAATGACAGAGGAAACTGCCTGATTTCCCAGCCTCCATTTCCATATGTGAAAAATAAAAATAGCTAATTATCTTCCTACTAAGCTTGTTATCTGTGGAAATGAAAGGAGGAAAGTACATTTGGCATTCCGATGCAATTCATCTCACAGCACTAACATGCTATAAACAGCAGATTTTCTAGCTGCGTCATGGTGACTTAGGAAGTTGCTACTTCCTAAGCATTTGATACTACAATTTCTCATTTATAATTGCAATAATTAATCACGTTAATAATTTTGGATTAAATAGAACCAGTACAATTTTCATGCTGGTTGTTTTGTGTATCTCTGCAAACACATGTTCTACCATCCTGGGTAATTCTTCACAGGGGTATATGTGTGCTTTGTGTAGCAAGTAAATCCTGGAGGCCAAACTAAATACAAAGTTTGACAGATAGTTTGCATGTTGACTTGAAAGTGGTATCAGGCCACAGCAAGTCACCACAATTGAGATTGAGATCCCCAGAATAGGAAATATGGAGAGCCAGTTTGGTACAGTGGTGAAACTGCTGGCCTAAAACCATGAGACTGTGAGTTCTAGTCCTACCGTAGGCATGAAAGCTGGAGGAGTGATGTTGGGTCAGTCACACTGTCTCAGCCCACCTCACAGGACTGCTGTTGTGTGGAAAATAGGAGGAAGGAGTATTATGTTCACCACTTTGAGTTACGTATAACGAAATAAAAGTAGGGTAAAAATCTGATAAATAGAATGCTCCAATATGCAGTACTAGTTGTAAACTGAAAAAAAATGGTAAACAGTAAAACCAATGGATGTTAACTACACTACAGTTTCATTGTATTTGTTAGTCTCAAAAATTACTTTTTAAGATATTCAATCACAGTGCTAAAATAGTTTCCTGGAGGTTTCTGGATATAGTCCCTTTTCATGTTTTAATTCTTTCATAATATGATAAGCCTTTGCTATGTAAAGCATAGATCACGGCTAAAAAAGCTGACCTATTTATTTAATGTACAATGTACAGGTTGCTCAACTTCCAATAACTGAATGGCTCTAATGCATAGCTGTCATTAGAGTTTTGTAATATTACCTGTATAGGAAAAGATTTGGCAATTGAGTTTGATGCAGAATACAATGTTATGCTTTATCTATTATTGCTATTTTAGATTAAGAGGCTATTGTATGGCTACCATATCTGAATTACAAAATTTCAAACTGCTATTGAATGGAAGCAATATTTTCTATATCTTTATTGCCAACTAATCCAGATTGCAGATTCCAGTTTTTTTCAATCGATACGATTGGTCTGTTTAAACCAAGATAGACTTACCTACTGCCTAAAGCTTGTAGGAACATATTGGCCAAAACATCTTTTAATGTAACCTTAATACAAAACTTGGTTCTGATGGTTAGCTTGGGAACCCAATGGTGGTGCTCCATGCTGGAGATGGCTGGTAGAGTGATAGAGGAGATTCCCCACCATATCGATTATAACCTGGTATATAGTTTTTGATGTGTGTACTTTTATTTTAATGGTGCTATATTTATAATTTTATGATATGCCACTCAGAGTTGCTTTGGAAAGGGAGAAGGGCGGCATATAAATTTAACAAATAAATAAATAAAGTAGGATAAATATTGTAATTTAAATGATTTCTTTCCTAAATATTTAAACCCAATAATATCAGGTTTTAGAAAGTTATGAATTTAAATACATTTAAACTAGAATTTGCTCGAGAATTCACTTTTTCTCAAACATCAAGTCTAACACCTGTAACATTTGGAAGTGCAATGGACAGCGGCAGGTTATTCTGAAGATAGTTCTTATCCAAAGGAAAAGCCCATATCAAAACTAGAGGAAGGGTATTGAAATTAAATATGAACACAGACATCTGGTAGATGAGAATCTCTGATATAGTCCATTTGGTTTATAAACCATTTTAAAAAGTGATTAACCTTGTCAAATTTAAATGTATTGGTAAACAGTGTGACAGGTTTTTGTCCTAGACCTGATATGATGGTAGGAGTGTGTGAGTGTACCTAATTCTGACCAACTCAGGATGCTACTGTTATAAAAAGTCCTTTATTAGCTGTCTTGAAATTCTTGAAATAGCCTATAGCAAAAAAAAAAAAAATGTTCCAAACTGAAACAGCCAAAGAATATAAGAATGGCAGAGAAAGAAAGAAAGAAAGAAAGAAAGAAAGAAAGAAAGAAAGAAAGA